TTTTTTTTTTTTTTTAATACTGCATTCCTCTGACATAGCTCTTTCCAGATTGAAGGGATGCAAATGAGGTAAGAATTAAGGCAAACCTAAAAGGCATGCAGATGAAGTACATTTATATCCACTGACAATACAAGCACATGTGTGGATCAGACTTAAGAGCTGAAGAACTCTTCCCCTCTGTCTGTCCAGTACTACTTTACAGCAGAATGGTGACATGATTTATAATAAACAGTTAACATTACCATGGGAATTCAGTGTCACTAACATTACTCAGTCTAGGAGACACAGAGCTAGCATCAGTAAAACATGAACAATAAATAATATAATTCACTGCAGCACAGGACTGCTGCACAGGCTTCAGAGGAATAGGGTTGTTATGAAATGACATTGCACACGTCACGTTGTGGCAGTTTATTTTTATAATATATACTTTTAAAATTCTTTAGCAAATGACATTCTCATGCACACAAGTGTTTCAAACACAAGAAGCAAGTCCATTTATAGGTAGTCCAAGCAAATTGTTGTGTGTGTGGAAATAGCTGCAAACTGAATGGAACATTAAACTTCTGTGCAGTCTATGACGCGTCATTGTACACAAGCTCATTTTTGAATGTCACACTGCAGGAGTAATACAATGGAAGGATCACTCTTTGCAGCTTCTTTGAATTCATCCAGTGTGATCTGGTCGTCTTTGTTCTTATCCATCTTACTGAAGATCTTGTCTACCCGCTGCTCAGGCGTCAGACCATCCTCATTCATTTTCATCATTATCACCGTGCCCACCATTTTGTAGATGGCCTTTGGAAAGAAACCAAATGGAAAATGAAACATACGAATTAACCTGGTTTTTCAATGTGATCAAATTCTGGAAAGATCCTCCAACAATAAAATGATTGCTCATTTCCTCAAGAGCTTTTTTTTTTTTTTTCCCCTTAGAATCCAGTGCCCATATACTTAAAACAAGCACTGGACCAGGCTGCCCAGAGAAGTGGTGGAGTCACCATCCCTGGAGGTGTTCAAAAAACATGGAGACGTGGCATTTCAGGACATGGTTTAGTGGTCATGGTAGTGTTGGATTGGTGGTTGGACTTGATGATCCTAGAGGTCTTTTCCAGCCTTTATGGTTCTATGATTTACTTTCTTCAGATGGAGTTTTATTTCGGTGGTTGCATTTTTGCATTTTGGAATGAATTTCTTTGGCTTTCTGTTTCACAGTGCGAAACCGATGTAACCTGTTCTCTCAATCAACTGTTTATTTGGCTTTTAGTCACTCCATTGAAAGAGTCACATAAATTCTGTGTAATCAGTTTTAGAAATCATCATCTTTTAATAGCTTTCTATGTGTATATATGAGCAAAATCTGTTATTAACTGCTATGGCAAGTAGCCAGCAGATGACAAGGGCAGTAAATTTTATCCTTCCCCGTTATATGCTGTGGTCATCTTAAATACCATCTGTGAGAGCTCACTTAAAATTAGTGTGGTGTTATCCCTGTAAATTTCTGTAATCGTTTAAAGTTAATTGCCAGGAAAGTTTCAGCTACTTGAGCTACAAACCAGTAATTTCAGGGGTGTAAAGTGATTTTGAGATGGGCTTTGTAAATCGTTTGCTGTGTTGTTCTTATGGTTAATCTGCTTACCAGAAAAAAACAACAAAAAACCAAAACCCAACACCCCCCTGCAAATGAAACAAAACCAAAAAAACCACCCAAACAAAGCACAAAACACCCCCAAACAAAACAACAAACTTATAAAAAAAAGCTTATATATATATATGTGCTTTCTGCAATTCTCAAAGCTTATATCTATTAAAATTTTAGTGTGCTTGCACCACTTAGGCACGAGCAAATGAATGTATGTAATGTATCCTTTTAGTGATACAGCACAGCCCCTCCTGTGCTTAAAATCTGCAGGGTGTGTGAATAAGTCATCGATTTTTATCAATGTTCAGAAGCCTTGTTTTTGAGTGTTGTATCAATCTCACCTCTATAATTTCCAGCATTTCCACTCTTGTAATTTTACCATCACCATCCAAGTCGTACATGTTGAAGGCCCAGTTTAGCTTTTGCTCAAAACTGCCTCGTGAGGTGATGGACAACGCACAAATGAACTCTCTGAAGTCGATGGTCCCATCTCCATTTTTATCAAAGGTTCGGAAGGCATGCTGGGCAAACTTTGAAGCATCTCCGTATGGAAAGAACTGCAAAATCAAATAAAAAAACAGAACTGTGGGCAATGCAGAGGAGCAAGCCATGTGCCTGCCTGCAAAATACCAAAGTGAGGCATTTTTGGAGAGCTGCTGGTGGGCTTTGTGTGAAACTGAAGACACGCAACGTAAGCTTCCCTAAGAGCTACTGTGTAATGATTTCTACAAAAATCGCTTAGCTTACTGCAAACTATATTACAATTATATTTAACAGTAATTTAAAGCCAAATTAACTAGATGAACCTTAAGAAGAAGTTGGGTGCAAATGGGAAATTGTACGCAATATTCTCCAATTACGAAATACAGCAACCAAGGTACATTTTAACAGTATTTTCTCTGCCTGGGAGTAACCAGCCCTTGACATGTTGCAACCAAGTATATGTGTGGGCTTGTTGTTATATAACTTCATTTATTAAAAAAAAGCAATCCACACGTAGCATAAAAAAGGGAACATATGTTCTGTCAACCAGCACAAGTGGATAAGATGAGATTCACTTAAATTCAGAGCAATCTTTTTCATGTTTCATAGCCAGTATCAGTGAACACTGCAACTGACTGTGCCTGAACGAAGTTTTTTTAAATGACCATAACATATAAGTTTTCAGATTATTATTTTTTCCTTTGGGAAATGTATGATCTAAGACATTTGTGACTGTAGTTGTTCCTTCTGCGGCACAGACTCAAGAAAACATACCTCTTAAGAAAGGGAGTTTTAAACCAACAGTGTAGGGACTGTACACAAATAATGGTTGTTTCTATATTCTCAGCACAATTTCATGGAGGCTTTCATGCTCCCAAAATATAAGCATGCATTATTCCCACTCAGAGCCATCTCATTTGTGCTTTTTAAAATTCCAAATATTATTAAATATTGCATTTAATAACCTAAATTTGAAGGAAATACCTCAGTGGCAGCTGAGGAAGTGGATCTGCATTTTCCAGTTTTCCATTTCCCCATCCAGAACTTCCACTGTACCCTGATAGTGGTTGTGGTCTGCTGGGAAAGCTCTGGAACAATACACTTAAATTTTATGGGGGATCTTAAGGATCTCACAGCATATACAGAAACAGGCTCTACCGATTGTCTGATTAAATACAGATGTAAAGCTTTTGCTGCTTTTCTTTTGAGGAGGCCAAATGACCACTGGGATACTGTCTTGCCCTAAAAATGCAAAACTTAGTGTGCGGCCAGCTGTTTGCATGATGTGCCCATGTGGGTCATGTCAGGAGCAACTGCTGTATCGCCAAGCGGATCCTAACCCAAAAGTTTCCTTTAAACCTACTGTTTTCTCTCATATAAATACTTTAGACACAGTTCTGAATCACCTTTGCATTGCTGAAGAGGTCCAGGTTAACATAGCTGTTAAGGCTGTGATTTTATCTCCACTCACTGCTTCTATGCCCCTTCTCCAATAGCTGAAAGAGGCATTTGGTATCGTCTCCTCCTGAAAATGTAACTTACGTGCCTGTACTCAGCCCAGCCCCCTTCTCTGACAACCTAAACTGATAGAGCTGTAAATACCTCAATGTACTGTTGCAGCTCTTTCTATGCTTCCTGGTTTTGACCTTTGAATTTTTTTTGCGCTACAGTATGGTAAGCATGACTGCTCTTTTAAACACAGATATATGGATTCTCTCATACTGTGACTGCAGCAACCAGACCTTGCTGAATTGCTCTTCTAGTGCAAACCTCAACCTTCTGCCAAAGTTTCATCTGTGGGAAGGCTCTTACTGCCCTGCAATGGGCTGTGTCAGAACAAAGTTACGTAAATGTCATCCAAAACTTATGTTACTTGCAGGTTATTGAAAATGCTACTCACTGCTACCTCTTTTTCATGATCTGTCTTTCCCCCAACTTCTGTACCAGTTACAGATGTTAGCACAGACGATATTTAATTTTACTTGTGTGTATAGACAGACACTCTCACAGAGCACTGGTATGAAGTTAAGAAGTGACTTTTTTTGCCCTGTAGCTCCCCCCGCTTCTACTTTTGGGAGCTTGCTGGCTGTTCAAAGCTGAAAATACAATTCTCTTGCTTTTTAAATCTGTATTGATCGGTGTCATGTGACATGTGTGTTAAAAAATAAAATACTTCTGAATTTTACAGTCTTCCAAGCGCTTCTGTTAAGAGCTGAGGATGCTGTCTGATCACTCTATCTGTGGCTCTGTCACTCCACAGTGTCCCTAACAGAAAGGCAAGTAGCAAGAGGGAAATGGGATTGTCCTTTCCGCTGTCCAGAGAACCAAAATGCATTCAGGTGAGTTCTCCTATGATCCAGACTGAGAAATGATACAAATGTACTGGTGAGACCAAAAACTAAACTACAGTGAAGAAGCTCACCTAGAAAAAAAAGTCTAAGAAGTGGTAGACACCCAAAAATACTCAAGAGCCCAAGAACAAAGCGAGAGATGAGGAGGAGTCAGTCCCTGGAGATGCCGAAGACCATTTCTAAATTATGGCTGGAGAAACAGGAACGTATCATTCAGTCTCGCAGCAGAGGAGCATAAGCAAGCTGTGACTACCTCTTGTGCCAATCATACCATTAACCTCACACAGCAGGGAGGAAAGCATCCTCTGAATTTTTCATCACAGACAAGACAGTGAGTTTTTCTGAAGGCAGTGGGGCTGCTCAGACCTAAGCCTTGGCACTTACTGCCTAGTAAGGTGAACAAATGGAACTGATGCTCTTTCTCCCACTTCCTCTCTTTTCCTCCCTCTAGGGAGCAAATGTAGTAAAAAGTCCTTTAGGGACTGAATAAAGTCTTCTCCAGTCTGTGCCTTCTGATTTGTATTATTTTTAGCTCAGAACAACTAAAAAACATTGTCAAAACTTGTTTAAAAAGTTCCTTGAAGACTTCCATTGGCCTGTTTTGAAATGATCCATAAATAAGAAATGGAGTAAAAGAAAATCAAAATAATTACAGATAAAAGAAGCCAGCTCTGGTAAAACATTATTTGACTATTAAAATATAGTGAGGCCTTAACGAGGTGTAAAGGCACAGACTTTAACTACTTTAAGAGTGGTCTGAGCCAAGTGCCAATGAGAGACAGGGATCTTTGGAAGACAAATATAGTTTAGTCTGCCTCATGGCACTCTGGCATGAGCTCAGTGAATGCCTCAGAAACATGTAAAGAAACACAACTGGGATTTTCAGAGGCTACAGCCACTGGGCAAGTCAGTGCCTTCAGCCTTCTCTGCAAACCTTTGTGCAGGTGATCAACCTACATATGAAAGCATCTAGTTCCCTTCTGCTGCAACGGCACCACTGAGAAGTGCGCTCTAACACCAACCACTGTCTCCTGCTTTACCATTTCACCTCCAAATCAAGACAAACTGTACCTGCCTGGGCTTTTTTTACAGCAGTTGCTTCCACGAGTGACCAAACCCTGGTCATTCCTTTGTTTCTGCTTCCCTAGTTCCATCTCTCCCTTCGTCTGCGCATTTTCGGACCAGTTAGAAACATGACACATGCTGGTGTGTGAAGAAAGTTATCTCTACAGACAACTACCAGTCAGGAAAGGAGAGAGGAAGCGAAAAAAATAATCCCTATTATTCTGCTTCTAAATTTTGGAGAAAAAGATTGTCTTGCAGATTATTAGCTCCCAAAATGTTTCCAGACACCTTTCAGGTATATGAGGTGCTTTCAAAGAGTTCTGGAATAAGAATATCCAGCAAATAGCATCTACAAACTGTACATAACTAAAGTCCTGGGGAAACTGATATCTACCTAGAAATATTTGTGTGGCCGCAGATGATTTAGCGTCTTCGAATTGATGCTGTTCACAGACACCTCTATTCAGATCAACTGTGGGAGGGAGTTGTGAAAAAGCATAAAGCACATGCTAAAGCAGATGGCTAAAGCTTTAGCATATGGCTAACACATAAAGAAAAAGACCACAAAACAAAACAAACCCAAAAGCTATACACTTCCCCAAATTCCCCAGTGATGGGGGAAGACCAAGAAAAGAAGGGCTTCTCCTTCACTGATAGGACGGGGTGGAGTGAATCTGCAGACCGGCCTGAGCAGTGCTCTTGTTTTATCGTGTCTGAGACGCATTGCTATTTGAAGGGAAATTCTGCTATAAAATGGAGAAAACCAGAATTAGAGCAGTGTGCAGCAAACCGAACACACTGCCTGCACGTGCTCAGGTGACAATTCAGTCACTGCTGTAAGGTCACAGCTCACAGCGCCGAGGTGGGAGCTCGAGCGCAGGAGGCGGTACAGGGCTTCGCTATCCCAGGCTTGAACAAGACGGAAGAAGCAGCTGCCGACTCCCCCAGGAGTTCGAAACACCCTGTTTGGGGCTCAGCTCTGGCAGGCTCTGCCGAGGGCTGAAGCAGGGAAGAGGCTGTGACCGTCAGGAGGTCGTGCTGCTCTGACAAAAACTGCAGCCTGTGCCTGCCAGCACCTCTTTGCCCAAACCTGAAAACTAATGAAACGAGTGTAACCACAGCAGCACAAAAGACACAGCCAGTACATCTGTCCTTCTGGAAGAGATCTGACTGCCCTGGGAATACTACAGCTCAAGGGCAGGTCTGGACAGATACACCTTTAAAATGGACACATTATCAAGACTTCCTGAGGATGTGGGGATTAAGAATACATAAGGTACAATGTTCCTCTCATTCCTGTTATGTCTCACCCTTATCCTCCAGAGCAATGCCTGTGAAATGGATGTGAAGCGCTGTGAGCTCTCTCCATGCCCAGCACTGGAGCAGAGAGGGCTGGCAGCGAGCATCCCGTTCAGGGTACTGGGCAGTCATGGGGAGGGGAACAATGGGACAGGGCAAGGCCGAGCATGATGAGACTGGGAGCAGATGTGGGAGCCACTGCATCACCCTGGACTGGTGTCTTGCATCGCTCTGTGGTCAAGAGAGAGGCTTCTCTGAAGAGCCACCTGAAGAGGTCAAGTTAGGCGTCAGACACTCCTTAGAATCACAGAATCACAGAATGTTAAGGGTTGGAAGGGACATCCAGAGATCATCTAGTCCAGCCCCCCTGCCAGAGCAGGGTCACCCAGAGTAGGTCACACAGGAACACGTCCAGGCAGGTTTTGAAAGTCTCCAGAGAAGGAGACTCCACAACCTCCCTGGGCAGCCTGTGCCAGTGCTCTGTCACTCTCACAATAAAGAAGTTTCTCCTCACGTTGAGGTGGAACTTCCTATGTTCTAGCTTATACTCATTTATTCCTTGTCCTATTATTGTGCACCACTGAAAAGAAACTGACACCTTCCTCTTGACACCCACCTCTAAGATATTTATATACATTAATAAGATCTCCTCTCAGCCACCTCCTTTCAAGGCTAAACAGCCCCAGTTCTCTCAGTTTCTCTTCACCGGAGAGATGTTCAAGCCCCTTAACCATCCTCGTAGCTCTCTGCTGGACTCTCTCCAGTGGGTCCCTGTCTCTCTTGAATTGGGGAGCCCAAAACTGGACACAGTATTCCAGGCGTGGTCTCACCAGGGCAGAGCAGAGGTGGAGGAGAATTTCCCTAGACCTGTGTATTGGGTCAGGCTGAGGTGGAGTTAATCTTCCCACAGCAGCTCTCTCAGTGCTGTGTGTTTGGAATAGTAGCTAGAGGGGTGTTGATAACACCTGTGTTTTGGCTACTGCTTAGCAGTGCTCACACAGCACCGAGGCTGTGGTTTTTCAACATTGCCCCAACAGTAGGCTGGGGGCAGGCAACATCTTGAGAGGGGACAAAGCCCATCCAGCTGACCCAGACTGACCGAAGGGATATTCCATATTATATGATGTCAGCTCAGATATAAAAGTGAGAAGGAAGAGGGAAGTGGTGGGGCATTCACTATTTATGTTTGTTCTCTGGAGCAACCGCTACACGTACTGGAGCTCTGCTGCCTGGGAAAGCGGTTGGACATCACCCGCTGATGGGAAGTAGAGAATAACCTTGGCTTTGCCTCCACACGCAGTCTTTGCTTTTGCTATATTTAACTGCTTTTATCTTAGTCCATGGGCCTCTCTTTATATTGTCCCTGTCCCCTGTCCATCTTAAAAAAAAGGGGAGTGACAGAGCGGCTTTGGTGAGCTCCTGGCCTCCAGTCAGGGCCAAACCATCACAACCTGCTGGACACACTTTTCTCAATGCACCCCAGGATCCCACTGGCCCTCTTGGCCACAAGGGCACGTTGCTGTCCCATGGACAACTCACTGTCCACTGGGACTCCAAGGTCTTTCTCCATGGGGCTGCTTTCCAGCAGGACGACCCCTAATCTGTACTGGTGCCTGGTGTTATTCCTCCCCAGATGCAGGACTCTACACTTCCCCTTATTGACCTTCATGAGGTTCCCTTTGCCCAGCTCTCTAGCCTGTCCAGATACCGTTGGATGGCAGCACAGCCTTCCTGTGTGTCAGCCAACCTGCCCAGTTTTGTATCACCAGCGAACTTGCTGAGGGTGCACTCCATCCCCTCGTCTAGGTCACTGATGTGAAAAAAACTGGACCTAGTACTGATCCCTGGGCAACACCACTGGCCACAGGCCTCCAAATTGACTCTGTGCCACTGATCACAACCCTCTGAACTCGGTTGCTGAGACAGTTCTCAATCCACCTCATGGTCCAATCATCTATCCCACATTTCATAAGTTTTCCTACAAGGATGTTACAGGAGAGAGTATCAAAAGCCTTACTGAAGTCAAGGTATGTGACACCTACTGCTCTCCCTTCATCTACCCATTTGGTCCAATCCTTGTAGAAGGATATCAGATTAGTCAAGCAGGGTTTCCCCTTAGTAAATTCATGTTGGCTACTCCCGATAACCTTCTTTTTTTCCATTTGGTTAGAGATGGCTTTCAGAATGAGCTGCTCCATCACTTTTCTGTGAATGGAGGTGAGACTGATTGGTCTGTAGTTGCCTGGGTCTTCCTCCTTGCCCTTTATGAAAGCTGGAGTGACACTGGCTTTCTTTCAGTCCTCAGGCACCTCTCCCATTCTCCATGATTTTTCAAAAATGATGGAGAGGGGCTCAGCAACAACATCAGCCAGCTCTCAGCACACATGGATGCAACTCATCAGGGCTCATGAATTTGTGCATTTGCAGTTTCTCCAAGAGGTCTCTAACCCAGTCCTCACTGACCAGTGGGGACTCCTTCTTGCTCCAGTTTTGTTCCCTTAATTCCAGTGACTGGAATTCCTGGGGGCTGGTCTTAGGAGTAGACTGAGGCAAAGAAGGCATTCAGCAATTCTGCCATCTCTGCATCCTCTGTTATTATATCTCCCATCTCATTTAGCAGCGGACAAAAAATACTCTTCCTTTTCTCAGTGACGTATTTGTTATCTTTGTTCTCCCTTGACTGGCTGTAGGGGAGACAGAGGGATCATTAAGCTTAAATTGTCGTTTCTATTGCAAAGTAAGTCTTCACAGTTCTAAGCAGGCAGACTTGCAGTCCTTGTAATTCTGACTAGACCCCTTCCTAGCTATCTTCTACATACTTTTTTCACTGAACAAGTGTTTTCAGTGCTTGCCTACAAAACGGGCTTTCCAAATTCACAGCAGTGGGACGATGCAACATCCTTTCCTTGCTGAAAGATGTCATCTTGGACATGGAAACACCACACTTGCTTCCCTCCCCTGTACGAGACAAGCCAAATGGGCAGCTCAGGAGAAAGCACTGGCTGCAGGAGGATGAGGGAACTATGAGCTGCCAAAATGGGAGCAGCTTGTGTGAACTAACATTAAAGGAAACAGAAAGAAAGCAAATTTTTTTAAAAACAAATTAGTAGTTGAGGGACTGCTTTAGGAGACACAGGATTTCTCCCATTAAATTTATTTACAAATCTACTTTGACTCACGTGATTTTCACAATTCTCCTTTCACTTCATCTGCATCTTAACTGCTATG